TCGTTCCCCCCCCCCCCCCCCCCGCCCCAGGCCGCGGAAGGTGCTCGCCGCGGAAGCTGCTCGACAGGTGCCTCGCAGCTGCGTATTCTCGTATTATCTTCGAGTAAGGTATTGCGTGGGGGCGGTGCGTATTCTCGTGTCACTAGCTCCGAGTAGAGGGGGCGTCTGCAGTTAAGGGGAAACCTGGTACACGGGCCAACCCTCGGAGAGTATTCTCGTATTATAGCTCCGAGTAGAGGGCGCGTCCTGCAGTTAAGGGGAAACCCGGTACGCGGGGCTAACCCTCGGAGAGTATTCTTTAGCTCCGAGTAGAGGGGGCGTTCCGCAGCTAGGGGAAACCCGGAGCGCAGAACCAACCCTTCGGAGACCCGTGTGTTATGGCCCTGCGAACGCGCACCCCCGGCGCCCGGGGCTAGGGCTATCTTGCCGCCCGCAACCCGATCCCGATCATCCGGCCCGCTGGGTGCGCTTCTGAGCTCCCCGGCCCTGGATGTGAGGCTAATAACTGCACTCCAAGTGCTCCAAGGACGGATTTTTCTTTCAAAGAAAACCTGCCTCATTCCCGCGCCTCCCCGTCGGCCCCCTCAGCCGGCGCCACCCCGAGCAGCTCCGCGAGGCCGTGGATCGAGGCGAGGTGCGCCTCCGCCTCGGCGCACCGCACCTCCGCGCCCGTGTCTCTGTCCGTCCTCCCCACCAGCACCTGGCGGAGGAAGGGCGGAGCACGCGTGGACATGTCGCGGGGAGGGTCCCAGAGCCTTCGCGGAGGTGTACGCCTCTCTCTGCCAGCTGCGATCCTCGCGCACTCACGCGCAGACGCTCCGGCGCGCTGTCTTGGTGCGTGTCTGGGCTGAATCAGTCCTGGCTGCCTCTCGGCGGCATCTCGGGCTGCACCCCGTCCATATCGCGGCGACATCTCGGCGACATCTCGGCGACATCTCCGCGCCGTCCTCCAGCCAAACGCGCTGGCCGCCTGGATGTTCTTGACGCTGTCGTCGCAAAAGAGGCACGCGGCGGGGTCGGTCGCGCCTGACATGGTCAACCCCTTAACGACTTGCATGCGGCGGGGCGCAGTGTCATCAGAGAACGACTTGCATGCGGGCGATGTGTACTGCCATCAGAGAACGACTTGCATGCGGCTGTATTGTCATCGGAGAATGAGTTGCATGCGGCGGGGTGCAGTGCCATCGCATGCAGCCGAATGATCAGGCATCGGACGCGTCCTGCTGCCGGTGCTCTCCCGGCCAGCTCCTCTCCGCTAAGGCGATAGGTGTCGCTAAGGCGATAGGTGTCGCTAAGGCGATCGGTGTCGCTCACCGGCGATCCGCATCGCCGCCTCAAAGCTAGAGCGCGCCTACACAGACGACACACACGGGCGAGATGAGCACACCAGGGAATGGCCCCGCATCGCCGCCCTCGGAGCTGGTCTCGCGCGTGTTTCGACTCGAGGCTGCACGCCTGCCAAGACCAGCAGGAAAGAGGGCCGTATAAAAAAGAAAGCCGTGGCTCGCCGTGGGACGACTCTAGGCTGCAGGCCGGGGGACCCGCTCCCACCGCCCGTACCGGCCTCTCTCCCCGAGCGCTATTCGGTTTGCTCCTCTATTCTTCACGCCCGCGTGTCGATGATGCCCTGCCACGGGAGACCGCCGACGCCGAGCTTGGCCTGAGAGAGAGGCGGCGGAGGCGGAGGCGAGGGCGGCGGTGGCGACGGTGGCGCGGGCGACTGGGTGCGAGGGTGGCGGTGGCGGAGGCAGCGGCTAGAGCGATGGCGGCGGAGGCGATGGAGGCGGTAGCGATGGCGGCGGTGGCGATGGCGGTGGAGGTGAAAGTGGCAGAGGAGAGGGTGGCGGAGGCAGGGTGCACCATGCAGCGCGCGGCGTGCTCGGACGCCGAGGCCGTGAAGACCCAGCAGGGCGCCTACGTTCGGTCAACCTCGGCTACTCTCGTGCGATCTCGAGGTTGGACAGCCCGTGAAGACGCGGCAGCGCGCCACGCCGAGCACGGCAGAGAGGACCTCCCGCAGCCGCGCGTCGGGCTCGATCTCGGAATAGTCAATCTTGTGCACCTTTGTGGAGGGAGGGCGGCCTCCCGAACCTCCCTACGTCTCCCCATCGCCTCCCCATATCTCCCGAACTCCTCCCCACATCTCCCCAGAGCGCAGGACCTCGGTGAGGAACTCCTCGGCGCCGGCCTCGTCGAGGATGCGCTCCACGAGCAGACCCTTGAGGCAGGTACCGTGCTCCTTGTACAGCTGGTACGCCCGGTCCTGCAGCGGTGGCAAGGGTGGCGAGGCCAGCATGTTGGTGGCGGTGTGGCGACGTGCAGTGTTTGCAGCGCAGGCGGGCGGCGGGCAAGGCCTTGCTCACGCCGAGCGTTGCGGTGTAGGCGCCGATTGACTGAGTGATGCGGCGTGCGGTGGCCCAGCCGTTCTGGTAGAGGCAGTCGTCGCAGTCGATGAAGATGTGGGTGATGCCGCGGAAGCGAGGCTGGGCGGCTGGCAGGAGCATTTGTTCTGCACACAAGTGAAAACACAGCGGGCTGGGTTCGGACTTTTTGCGGGGTATGGTAGGTCTGGCCCAAAGAGGCCAGACGTTGTAGGTATATTGTTGGCAAATCAAGACACAGAGCTCACACAGAATCACAGCGGGAGGAAAGCGGCGAGTCGCAATTCCAGGGGTCGTTGTGGCGGGCCACCCTGTCCAGAGAGGCATGGATGCCAATCTGGGGTCTCTCGACCGAGTCTATGAGCCCTGGCCGCCTCCCGATCTTGGTGGTAAGGCCGCAGCCGAACAAGGCGACGGAGATGGCGCGGGAGAGTACGGGGGTGTTCCAGGGGATCACGACACGCACCGACCCTTCACGAGCCGAAAGGCTGTGCCCGGGGAAGGCACTCTGTAATCCGGGCACGTGTTGGGCGCCCCATTCCGTTTAGGAAGTAAAAACCATAAAGACCCCAAAAAGCACGGCCCCAAGGTCAGACGCTATACGTGGCAGCGATCTCGTCAGCCTCGCGCTGTCGCCCCGCCTCCGTCAGCACCTCGACAAGGTTGCGGGCCGAGCTCTGCGTCTCTTCATGCCCCTTCCCGTACCGCGCAGTGAATCCCTCCAAGTCCTCCCGGAAGAGAGGGATGGCGTCCCCGAGCCTGCCCTGCGTCTGCAGCAGCATGCCGAGGCCGTAGACCAGGTCGAGCGTGTCCGGGTGCCGGTCGCCGAGCGTCTCTCGCCTCGCCGCCAGCGCCTCGCGGAACAGCGCCTCCGCGCCGTCCAGGTCGCCCTGGTCCTGCAGCAGCGAGCCGAGGTTGTTGATCGAGGTGAGCGTGTTCGGGTGCCGGTCGCCGAGCGTCTCTCGCTGCGCCGCCAGCGCCTCGCGGAACAGCGCCTCCGCGCCGTCCAGGTCGCCCTGGTCCTGCAGCAGCGAGCCGAGGTTGTTGATCGAGGTGAGCGTGTTCGGGTGCCGGTCGCCGAGCGTCTCTCGCTTCGCCGCCAGCGACTCGCGAAGCAGCGGCTCCGCGCCGTCCAGGTCGCCCTGGTCCTTCAGCAGCAAGCCGAGGTTGTTGATCGAGGTGAGCGTGTCCGGGTGCCGGTCGCCGAGCGTCTCTCGCCTCCCCGCCAGCGCCTCGCGGTACAGCGCCTCCGCGCCGTCCAGGTCGCCCTTCTTCTTCAGCAGCATGCCGAGGTTGTTGATCGAGGTGAGCGTGCTCGGGTGCCGGTCGCCGAGCGTCTCTCGCTTCGCCGCCAGCGCCTCGCGGTACAGCGCCTCCGCGCCGTCCAGGTCGCCCTGGTCCTTCAGCAGCAAGCCGAGGTTGTTGATCGAGGTGAGCGTGTTCGGGTGCCGGTCGCCGAGCGTCTCTCGGCTCGCCGCCAGGTCCTCGCGGTACAGCGGCTCCGCGCCGTCCAGGTCGCCCTGGGCCTTCAGCAGCAAGCCGAGGTTGCTGATCGAGGTGAGCGTGCTCGGGTGCCGGTCGCCGAGCGTCTCTCGGCTCGCCGCCAGCGCCTCGCGGTACAGCGCCTCCGCGCCGTCCAGGTCGCCCTTCTTCTTCAGCAGCATGCCGAGGTTGTTGACCGAGCCGAGCGTGTTCGGGTGCCGGTCGCCGAGCGTCTCTCGGCACCCCTCCAGCGCCTCGCGCAACAGCGCCTCCGCGCCGTCCAGGTCGCCCTGGTCCTGCAGCAGCGAGCCGAGGTTGTTGATTAGGTTCGACGTCGCCCTCTCGGCCGGCTCCATCCGCTCCAGCGCCGCCCTCCCCTGCCCCGCCAGAGCCGCCCGCAGCAGCCCAAACACAGCCTTGTTGCACTCGGTCAGGCCAACCTCCCGCTCCAGCTCGCCCAGGATGAGCTCCGTGTCCTTCGGGTTGCGGCACTCCGCCTTGCGCACATCCACCTCGGACAGCTTCGTCGCGATCGAGTCAAAGTCCTCCACCAGCGCCGTCTCGAACGCCGCCTGCTGCTCCGCGCTCATCACCACCTCGAAGCGAGCGCCCGACGCCTGCGTGTGGAACACCTCCTTGATGCAGTACGCGCGCCGCAGCGGCGACGGGTCGTACCACGGCTCCATGAGCAGAACCGTGTGGCCGACGGCGCGGACGCAGTCGCCGAGCCGCTTGACGTCGTTCATCGTGACGTCGAGCTGCCGCGTCGACTGGCGGATCACAAAGTCGCAGACCCAGAACTTGGTGTCGGGCGGCAGCTCTGGGTGGAGCTGCAGGTACTGCCGCAGGGCGTCCACCAGCGTCGCGAGCGGCGTCTCGAGGAACCAGCTCACAAAGACGGTGGCGACGCCCACGCCAGGGTCGCCGCGCTCGTGCAGCGCCTCGCAGTACGCCTTGCCTCCGTCCGCCTCGCTCCGCCTCGCGATCTGCCACTGGTTGACGTAGCCGTTGAGGGTGGCGTTGGCGGGGACGCGGACGCCGTTGATGGTGGGCCGGTTCTTGTTGCACTGCTCGACGACGTCGGCGGGGAGGGCGGTGATGTACTCCTCGATCGCGTCGACAGACAGGCCGAGGGTCAGCCGCTCCGGGAGGTTGCGCTCGGCTGCCCGCTGCGAGACGAGGTCGGCGTTCGGTGCGGCCGGAAGAACAGTGACGCTTGCTGCGCGTGCAGCGAGCAGGTCAGGGGAGAGGGAAGCGCCGCTGCGCGCGGCCAATGCGGCAGGAGCGGCGGTGGCGTCGGCAACGCCGGGCAAAGAAGCCGAGCAGCCCATGGCGATCGGAATCGTTGGGAAGGCCGCTGCGTTTGAGGGGACGTGCAGTTCAGCGTCTGACGCTGGGGCTCAAGTTGAGCGTGTGTACTGTGAGGTGAAAACCCGCTGGGACCCGGACGCCAGCACACACGAGGGTGTGGTCACGATCCCAGGCCGCTGCTCAAAGCCCCACCCGGGTACGCGCCCAGCCGCCTTATTACAAGCCGTACGTATGGTTGAAACCCCTTTCCTGGCTCACAAGCTGAAGAGGCGGGCCCCCACACTCACGGAGCCCCGGGTACTCTGTAGCTGTACTCGTCTAGGCAGGGGTTGGGTTGAGGCTGGTGGGTTAGGTTCAGTTGCGCTGCGGTATTGGCCCAGGCGGCCTCGTTTTGCGGACTCATGCCGACGACGGCCGTGCAGGAGATCGAGCTGGAGCGCTTCGACGTGCTCAAGATCCAATCCATCGACACTGTCTCGCAGTCCTTCAACGCGCGCTGCCTCGTCCGACTCCGGCTCATCGGAGCCAAAGCCCGCCGGGAAGCGTTCGTCACCTTCAAAGACGGCCGCACCACCGAATCGGTCGAGTGGTTTGCAAGGCAAATCGAGCCGTACAACTCCTTTGAGCACGACTCGTGCAAGCTGATAGATGAGAAACCAAAGATCACGGACGCCGGCGACGACCTGCTTATCCAGCTGCGGTTCGAGGGGCGCTTCTCCCAGCCGATGTGGCTGCACGCATTTCCCTTCGACTCGCAAGAGCTGCGCATCGAGTTTCTCATTCTCTGCCGCGTCGACGGCCCCGTACCGGCCAAGGTGATCGTATCGCCTGGTGTGGAAAGCAGCCTCGTGGACAGGGGCTTCGCACCCCGCTTCCAGTGGCAGCCAACCGGGGGCGTGCATTGCTTCGTCGACGAGCACAAGGCAAACGGGCGCATTTTCCCCAAGTTTGGCGCTACGGCGAGAGTGGCGCGGAAGTCCCGCTTCTACGTCACCAACGTCGCGCTCCCCACCGCCGTCTTTTCCGGCCTCGCCTTCACCCTCTTCGCCGCGCAACCGTCGGAGCCTTTGGAACGCCTATCGGTGCCGCTCCGGACTCCTGACCGAGATGTGTGCTCCCATGCTATCGTCACGGTTTCCGCTGCCGAGTTATAGGTCGCCTTCACGCTCCTCCTGACGATGGCGGCGTACAAGATCACGGTGGCGGGCATGATCCCGCAGGCAGTAGAGCCTCCGCGCCGGGAGAGGGAGAGGGAGGAGAGGAGAGGTGGGGAATGTGTGCGGCGTCACCTGCAGTCAGTGCCAGCACACCTCTCGACGTAGGTGTCCTACGAGACCTTGCTGGACCAATTCCTGCTCTGCAACTTCTTCCTCCTCGTAGCGATGGCGATCGTCAGCGCAGTTCTTCCGCAAGCGGGACAAGAGGCGGAGGATTTGGCCGACCGCATCTGTTTGGCGCTTCTCGGCGCGGTTTGGTGCCTGATCCAGGCGTGGTTCGTGGCCAAGGCGTGTTCGCGAAAGGACTGAAAGATAGGTCGAGTGGTAGAAAAAAAAGTAATGTATGTTTACTTCCAACAAGAGGTGATGGAAAGTTCGACAATCGACTCAAGAGCCGGCGCGCGCCTCCCCCCGCTCCGGCCTCCGCGCTCCGGAGTCTTGACGAACGGGCGGCTCGCCGAGTTGTGCTGTCCCAGAGGAGGACGCCATGGGGATGTCCGCGAGCGAGGGAGGGGCAGGCTAGGCGCAGAGAGCCATGCGTGCTTCGCTGATGTTTGGAGAAGGCCGCTCCACGACCTTCGAGTGATGACAGGCCACGTGATTGTCGGGCGTTCTACTCGGGATGTCTCCTTGTGTGGTCACGACACACTCGCCTCGCGAGGGCTCGAACATGACCGCACCTCCCTTCCGTCTTCTTGCCTCCCCCCATGGCCGTCGCCGAGGGTGCGCAGCTAGCTCCGTACGCGCAGCATCTCTAGCTCCACGCGCAGCTGCGGCTGTCACGCTTGCTACGCACGCAGTGCGCACGCTTCCGACCGAGCAGCTTCGAACGCGCACAGCTCGGCGCTGAACGCAATCCGCGACACCCCCCCTCTGTCAGCCCGTGCACAGCGACTCAGCCGGCGACCGCCACGGGCTCAGACGAGACTTGTCGACTCGTTCCGGCTCAGCTTCACCGTGGTCATCGGGCGTCTGTCGACGTCAGGACCACCCATACAGCTCGCGGGTTTGAGGTCGCAAGAGCCAAGATGGTGGCGTTTGGACATCCCAACCATCACACATGACAGCCTGTAGGTGATGGCGGGACGGCGCAGTGTTTGTGGCACTCGGCAGTAGGCACCCGCGGCACGGCCCCGCTGTCGGCTCTCGCGGGCTGCGGAACCGGCCCCAGAAGGGGACGGTCCGGGCGAGTGTGGCAGCTCCTGCGCTAGTATGGGCACCCTCTATCACAACACTACTGATCCTGGTCATCAGAGCCGCCAGGGATAGCGTCAGGAGCCGGTAGGAGTCAAAACCCCTCATATGTTTGAGACATCGTGGCCTATATACTCGTGCAAGCTGCAACAAGCCGCATCTTCCATGGTCACTGTCAGCGAGCCAATCCCCGCAAGTTGCAGACAACCGTTGACGGCTACCGTAGCGTAAAGTAGCGACAAGCGAGGCCCTTAGGAGCACTTGGAGCACTTGGAGTGCAGTTATCAACCGCACATCCAGGGCCGGGGAGCTCAGAAGCGCACCCAGCGGGCCGGATGATTGGCATCGGGTTACGGGCAAGAAAGCCCTAGCCCCGGGGGTGCGCGTTCGCAGGGCCATAACACGTCTCCGAGGGTTGGTTCTGCGCTTTGGGTTTCCCCTAGCTGCGGAACGCCCCCTCTACTCGGAGCTAAAGAATACTCTCCGAGGGTTGGACCCGCGTACCGGGTTTCCCCTTAACTGCAGAACGCACCCTCTACTCGGAGCTAGTGGACACGACACTAGCTACTGATACGAGAATACATACCGCCCCCACGCAACTACTCGAAGATAATACGAGAATACGCAGCTGCGAGACGCCTATAAAGAAACAGCGAGGTAAAGTTCGGCGGCTATGATAAACCGAAAGTTGTCGTAAAACGCGGGCGAAAGCAAAGCAGAGGGCGGGCGCTTTCTGCCGCAGCGATGCCCGCAGCCTGTCGAGCAGCTTCCGCGGCGCACATGCGCCGCGGGGTTGAACGACAGCCGCGCCTCTCGAGCCACCCGTGCCACGCGCGGCGACGCGCACCCTGCGCGCCAGTCGGCGCACTGGCAGCACTGCACCAGCCAGCACGGCGTGGAGCAATGCATCCAGGGCATTGTGTTGGGCGCCAGCCAGCATGCCTCAGCACAGAGCAAGAGCGCATGCTGCGCACCCTGGCGCAGCACCAGCTCGCCTCCAATCAGGCACTCTCACCACTGCACAGCCGCCCACGAGCGCCCGCAGCTGCACTGCTCAACGCTCAAGCTCAGGAGCCTCCCCTTGTTGTCGCAGCTTTGTGCAGTGCAGCGTGCGAGCAGCGCAGCGCCAGGCAGACCCGTGGCACGCCCGGGCGGCTGTGGGACGGAGGCCCGCCGAGCGAGTGCGAGCCGCATCGGCGGCCATGTCTCCCGCAGCCGCGAGCGAGCGGTGCAAAGAGGCAGCGTCGCGCATGCTTTTCCGTAACGGTCTTAGGCCTTGTCTATTTTCTTTCTCTCTCAAAAAAAAATTGCGTTTTATCCTGCGAAAGACACCACTCTCCCCCTCCCGTCGCTTGTCCCCCTTGGCGCGGCGCGCCTCTCCCCCCTTAAGCGCGTACAAGCTGAGGCTACCGTAGGCCACACTAGCGTCGCTGGGGGTTCCCTGCCCTAAGTGGGAAGCTGGCCGCTGATCCGAAGACCGACTGCACCAGGGGTTGCTAAAATCGCGGGGCTCCTGGACGGGCGATGAAGTTCGCCTTGAATCTCTCGTCTCGCTTTCCCCCCGAATGCACTCGCGTCCGTCGGGGGTACTCCCTGCTCTCTGGCTCTCCGATCCCCCCCCCCCCCCTCCCTTC